TGCTTTTGCTGCTGCTGCTGCTGCTTGCAGGTGATAATTGCTGCGCAGAAGCAGCAGCAGCAGCAGCAGCAAGAAGGAAAACGAGTGGAAAGCTAAAACAAAAAGTGGAAATAAACAAACAGAAGGAATTCGAATAAAACAAAACTTGAAAATTAAAATAAAAGAAGAAAATGGCATTTAAAAGATCTAAAAACCATTTGCAATTAAACTAAAAACTTTTTTTTCGCTTCAATTTCTTTCTTTAGTACTTCGCCTCTCGGGTGTACAGACACCCCACATTAGTCATTATCCAAAGAGTTCTCTTTATTTATTAATTTATTTATTTATTAATTATTATTATTATTATTATTATTTGTTATTTTTCTGTTGGTTTTACTAATTATTTTATTTATTTACATATTTTACATTTGTTTATTATTTAATTTATTTGTCTTTTTATTTTTAACTCAATTTCGCCTTTTGACGCAACTCAGCAGCGCAGCAGCTCTAAATAAACAAATAAATAAATAAATAAATAAAAATAAATAAATAAATAAATATAAATAATAATAAATAAATAGATAAATGGATATAAGAATGTAAACAGAGGAGCAGTAAACCCTAAACCCTAAACCCTAAAAGGGGGGAAAGAAGAAGGAAAGGCAAAAAGGCGAAAGGAGGAAAATGAGAAAGAGGAAACGAAAAAGAGATGTAAACCCTAAACCCTAAACCCTAAACCCTAAACCCTGGATCAAAAAGGAGCCAAAAAAAGAAAACCTAATTGACGAGTTGGCGACGGACAGCCCAAAACCCTAAACCCTAAACCCTAGAGCCCTAGGCCGAAAGCCTAAACCCTAGAGCTCCAAACCCTAGAGCCCCAAACCCTAAAACCCTAAACCCTAAAACGCCGAAAATTCGGAGAAACCCCAAACCCCAGCAGCCCCAAACCCTAAACCCCAGCACCAACCCCGAAGGCCCAAACCCTAAACCCTAGTGGCCCGTAAACCCTAAACCCTAGATTCCTCAACACCGCAAACCCTAAACCCTAAACCCTCATTCTTGGGGAGCTTCTGCGGGCTTCTTGTTGTTGGGAAGAGGGTTTAGTGGAGTGGGGTCTTCTCTCCAAAGGCGAAAGATTGGAACGTCAAACTCTTCTGCTAAACCCTTTTTTAGGGTTTGGGGAGAAACCCTCAAAAAGGGACTTCCCCCAGGTGGCTGTACACCCCAGCCCAGCCGCCCTGTGGGGCCCCACACAAAAAAAGAAATTTAATTTTATTTATAATTTTAATTTTAATTTAATTTAATTTGTAATTAAATTAAATTTATAATTTAATTTATAATTACTTTATAATCTAGTTTTGGTCTTAATTTTACTTTTAAATTTAAATTGAACAAAGCAGCAGGAGATAAATGAAAAAGAAACAAAAAGAAATTAAAAAGAAATTAAAAAGAAATTACAAAGAAATTAAAAAGAGATAAAAGATAAATTAAAAATAAATTAAGAATAAATTAAAATAAAAAGAAATAAAAGAAGACAGAAGAGCCAGAAATAGAAAAGGAAAGGAAAGAGAAGCTAAAGAATTTAAGAGAATTTAAAAGAATTTAAAAGAATTTGAATTAATCTAAAAGAATTTAAGAAGAGTTAAAAAGAATTTCAATTAATTTAAAAAGAATTAAAAAGAATTAAAAGGAATTTAAATTAATATAAAAATAATTAAAAGGAATTTAAATTAATATAAAAAGAATTTAAAGGAATTTAAATTAATTTAAAAAGAATTAAAAAGAACCAAAAAGAATTTAAATCAGTTCAAAAGAATTTAAAAGCAGTTAAAAGAATTTAAAAAGAATTAAAATGAATTTAAAAAGAAAAAAGAATTTAAAAATAAAAAGAAATAAAATAAAAGCTGTTACCTGCAGGGCCATCTTCGCCTTCTCCAGATATTTCTTTCAACATATTTAATTGTCTTTTTTTCATAAGTTCTTCCTCGCTGCTGCTGCTGCTGCTGCTGCTGCTGCTTTGCTGGTCCGAATCATCTGCAGCAAAACCCCCTCGCCGCACTTCCTCAAGAGCCATTTCCATCCGCAGCA